ATCAGATTTTTTACAAAACCTTGCAGTTCTTTGGCATAAATCTTCAATTTCATTTAGCAATTTTGATTAAAAAGCTGTTATTTTAAATGAAATGAGTTTTAAAGGAGCTTTAAAGGAGCTTCAAAGGAGCTTTAAAGAAGCTAAATAGGAACTATAAAGGAACTAAATAGGAACTATAAAGAAACTATAAAAGGAGCTTTAAAGCAGTTTTAAAGGAGCTTTAAAGGAGCTTTAAAGTGTTGAAAAGTTTAAGAATACAAGGAGTACTTTGATTGCTACAATCTCATCAAAACTCACACCATATTTTACAAGTAAAAGTTCATGAGTCTTTAACTTTAACTTTAAGACTTTAAAGCTTTCATCCTTGGCTGTATAATTTAAAGCGCTCTGTAAAAAATTTCAAAAGATTTAAAGCTATTAAAACAAGAAGCTAAAAAAATATCAACTAAAAAAATCAACTAAAAGATCAACTTTATTTTGTCGTCAAAAAAGTAGACAAATTATTTTCTCACAATTCTTTGTGTCCACTTCATTTAACAAGTTCACTCCATTTCACAAGTTTACTCGATGATTTTCTCACGATCGTTTGTGTTACACCAAGCTACAAGCTAATCCCTAATCAAAAACTCTCTTTTTTATTTTTATTTTTCACTCTGTAAATTCCTCGCTTTGTCTCTATGAATTCGTCCATCCAACTGGATAATTTACATGCTATTTTTGAGTGAACATTTTCTTAATTTCATTGAAATTAGATACAATCCATCCTTGAAATCTCATCTTGATCATTCAAACAAATCCAATTTTTTAAAGTTTTTGCGAAAGACTACTTGACTGAAAATATTCTTTAAAAATCTATGAAATTTTGGCGAGCTTATTCGATAATAAGATTATTGAGAATAAGAAACACACCTTTCATCACCTCATCACCTCATCATCATCACCTTTCCAGCTACCTTGCGGAGAAGAGCTGAAAGCCACTAAATGCTAAATAAATCTAAAAATAAATAAAGCCACTAAATAAATCATCTTTACATTTGAAGATCTCTTCACAGATCATTCGATTTTCTCAACTACTTAAGGAAATTTCTATGCCTTTAAATGTCTTGAAAATAAAAGTCCCTTATTAGAATCGATGACCGATCTCTGGTCCAGGCCACCAACATTCAATGGTCGAATATCAACAATGTTATCTGGATCATATACTAAACGTCTAACTCTTGAAGCTCTATTCAAACGAGAAGAATTGAAAGCCACTAAATGCTTTATAATTGAAGATCTTTCCACAGATCATTCGATTTTCTCAACTACTTAAGGAAATTTCTATGCCTTTAAATGTCTTGAAAATAAAAGTCCCTTATTAGAATCGATGACCAATCTCTGATCCCGACCACGAACATTCAATAGTCGAATATCAACAGTAATGTTATATGGATCATATACTAAACGTCTCGTACGAAATAAAAGTCGAATAGAGTTTGTCAGAGAACATTTGAGCTCAATTATTCGTCATTTGGCAGAACTTGATAATTTGTTTATTTGGATTTCGGCACGAACTGGGGAGGAACGCTCGATTCAACATTTTCAACCAGAACAACATAAAAGAACATAAAGTGTGTGCCCGTTTCTCTCAATTCCCACAAATCGAGAATGAGGTCACAAAGTGGATCACAGAGTTACCAAATTTGGAACTTGCAAGGCACAGTCCTGAAATGCTCGCCTATTTTCGATGTGAGAATCGACGAGTTCTGATCATTGTCGGTTGTCCTTCTCGAGTCATCTTGTTGTTTTCAAATATTTATAACTCTTTGGTTTTTAGAAAACTAACTAGAGAACTATTTCAACTCGGCATTGTGACTTTCTGAAGTTATTTTGTTCTGAATCAATGTTAGCTTGTTTTATTATTCAAGATAAACACTTTACCATCCAACCAGAATGCACCCAAATCAAGACAAGAATAAACAACAGCATTATACTCATATACTATTCAAATATGGCTCTTATCCCATAATTCAGAGATTTGAAATTCACGAAACTGTAGAACTAAACGTTTTCGTCCACAAAGCCCCGTAGATTTCACAAATTTCAGTCCATTTGAGCAATTGAAGCAAGTCGGCCCCCAAGGTAGACTTTTCCTCTGAAATTTTAATTGTTAATAGAATATTATACAAAATTATAGTTGCTTAAGCACCATCTTTGAATATTATTGGCAAACGATCACATAGATATCGTCAACGCTACAGAAAGCATAACCACAACCAGCGGATCGCGTTGTCGCTCAGGCCATCTGAATAAGTGGATTATAACAATTCTATTGATCCTAACCGATTTTTAAAACTATGTATAGCCAAATTTTTGTACTTATTTATGAATAGTACTTTAAGGTTAGAATAGTACTGATATTGCAAAAGTTAAAGAGAGAAAAGCAAAGTAAAAGTTAAACTGACACTCTAACGAATCATCGATGTCACCTGGATCGATTTTTGAAATGATCCAAAACTGAAAACGTAAAATAAGTAACTTATCATCAAAAAGAAGAAAGCGAAGACAAAAGAAAGTCAAAAAATCAATCAAAATACAGTTCAAAATCACCAAAAAGAGTGCAGTACTACATAGTTTAGAACTACACAACAAAGTGAACGTTGAACTGCTACTAGCTACGCTCAAATTAGCCTATAAACATCAAATAAACATTGCTAGCGTGTCAATTTTAAACTAAACTCAATTAGAATCTTTTTATCAAAGGAAATGACTTCTCGGACGATGTTTAGAACGATTAATGAGACAGGAGATCGAGCGGACCAGTTTTAGATGCAATTTGATTGGTTATGCTGAGTGCTGAGTGTTGTTGAGAGCTATTCATTGAGTAGAATGCTTGAATTCAAAAAGAGAACAATATTTTTTTATTTTTACAGATCTTCTGTAGTTGTTAATACCTGGAGAGCTTCTTCTCGAGCTTTGAAGTGAGTCACAACTTCTATCATCGTGTGGGGCTCTTTGTCACAGTTTCCACAGAGTGATGTGACGAGTTTAGAGCTTAATTTAGTTATCAAGCTTTATAATTTATACTTTTTGAAACATTTGACAAACTCTTTTATTAATTTTCTTGATTTTTCAAGTTTTAGCAGCAGAGGTCCGTGAGATGGTGAATTTTGTGAGCTCCTCTGATTTGTATTAAGATAACTTCCAAAAGTTTTGTTGTTTAGCAATAAACCTCTTCATTTGCACAAAGTTTTCAAAAGCTTCAATGCTTGTTTTCGTAAATTGGGTTAATAGAATTGTTTTTTTTGCGACATTTCACCCGATAAGCCCTATCAGTTTTGGTCAGCTAGGTGAAAGAGAGAACTATTGAGCGTCGTTCTGTTTTCGAAATGCTACGACTATTTTTAGTTTCCCTTCTATCAGGTAATAGTCTAGAAAATAAGCAAGATATGTTAACATTTCAAAGCTTTTTCAATTAAACTCGCTTTTCAGCTCAAACATTTTCTTATTGCCCAAAAGAGAGTGTTGACGGTTCGATTGATGGAGCATGTTATTTTGGTGTCGCTTCGGCGTTCGCTTTTGCGAAAGGAGAAGATTTCTGTGTCAAGTTTTCTTGGAAACAAAGAACTATGAACTAAGCAGCTTTCAGTTTTGATGGTCATCTAGCTTCGATCACAAATGAGGCCGATAATGAAAAAAGTTCTAAATATTGGTGGACAAATTGTTGAGGTAAATCAAGCGACAAGTGGTCGAGTAATATTATGGTTTTATAGGTTCTTGCGGTTCTTAAATTTGTAATTGCTTAACCAGTGAACAGTTTCATCTGGAATTTCTTCTCAATAATCGATAAGTAGATGCTAACTAGTAGACAAAATTTGATGACGATTGCTTGATTCAATCGAGAGAATGAGCCTTTAACGTTGATGTGTGTGTTTCGCTTTTTGTAAACTCGCTTAGCTCTATAGGAGCACTAATGAAAAATAGGATCCAGAACATTTTTAGGAGGATTGGTCGACCTAAAATCTTTCAAAAGAAACCCATCTTGGTGTCAATAGAAAAGTTGAAGAGAATCAAAAATTAGGCTTATAGCCAAATTTCCAAAAGACCCACTTCGTAGTTTCGCTTAAAATGCAAGTTTTGTGAAAATTCGTAAATTTGGCATTTCTTGAAAACCAGTGTTTGAATCGTTCTGAAAATTTGGATATAAGCTTCATTTTTGATTCTCTACAATTTTCCATTGACACCAAAATGGGTTTCTTTTGAAGAAAGTGCTCAAACTGTCACATATGACAATAGCCGGCAGATTTCAATTCACCAACCCAATAGATAAGGTCAAATACATGCTGACTTGGTTGAACAGTTATATCTTATTCTCTTGATTGAACCAAGCAATTGTCATCAAATTTTGGTTACTTGGTTAGCATATACTTATAGATTATTCAGTAGAAATTTCAGGTGAAACTGTTGGCTGGTTTTTAAGAAATCAAAAACTTAAGAACTGCAAGAACTTACAACCCTAATAATAATCTAGGAAGAAAAAACGATTTGGTTGGGTGGAACTTATGATGGAAAGAATGTTAGCTGGTTTGATGGATCACTGGATATCTATCAGAATTTCATCGCAGGTAATGCTAAAAGAGTTATGAAAACTTTCAGAAACACTGTCTCTGAGATTTTTGAGCACGTCAAACAATTCAAGGATTTCAGGAACACCACCCGGCAACATGATGATGAATTTAACAAATGGAAAGTGGTTAACAGCTAATTTTAATGTAAAATTACCACTAGTATGTGTTAGCAAGGACCAGGTAGAGGAAAAGCAAAAAAAAACATTTAAGTCATTCAGATTTCGACAGCTGAGCCAACTTGCGAGTCACCATGTCCCACCGAGTGGTTTTATGTGGCTGAATTACAAAGTTGCTATAAGGTATCGTTAAGTTTGTCTCATTGTCTCAAATTTCTCATTTATTCAGCAAATCTTTGGTGTAACATTCTCCAATGCTGACGCAACTTGTCGCTCAATGGATGCAATGATTGTCTCCATTCATTCAGCTGAAGAAAATCGAGTCGTTGATCGTAAAATTCATTTGTTTTCCGGTAAACAACTTTTGTTTTAGAGCTACTACACACACAAAAGACGATGAACAATGGAGCCACTGATTGTGTTTTGCTGGGAGCAGTTAAAGTAGGGTTTTCTTTGGTCCTACTCATTCTTTACGCTTACTTTAGAGTCAAATCAGTTAAAATCAGCTAAAATCAGTACTCGTTCTTAAAATTTAAGTCGTTTACTTTACAGAATGGCCCAGGAAAAACCGATTATGCTTGGTACGACGGGACACCGTGGAACTACACAAATTGGAGAGAAGAAGGAGTTCTAAACAGTGGATCGTGTCTGATTGTAAGTCACTTATCGATGTGTTGCTTAGCAACTTTTCAGATATTTCCCGATTTATGGGATGCCCCTTCACTTCCCCCTTTATATTACTTACATCGATGGGATGTCTATCCATGTGAAACGACTTTCCGAGCAACTCTATGCAAGAAACGTGCTAAATACTAAACTAAATAGAGACATAAAAAGATTTCACTCAGATGTTTCCGATTTGATTTAGATGTTTTTACAGTATAAATAAAAGTTGGTACTTTTGCGTTATATCCTCAAGAAAAGAACACATTTGCATTTATCGTCAAATGGAGGAACAAAAGACACCGAGGAAAAATTCGTTTGAGTGCCACACGTTTGTGTGGCTTTCGGTTCTTTTGTGTTTGTGGGCTTGCTTGTTGAATTTTTGCCTATAGAAAGCAAAACTTGCAAAAAGCAAGTTGCTGAGGCTTGTCTAGATCCTTTATAAAAGTCAATAGGAGACTTCAAAAAGTTGAAAATCAAGTATGAAAGTATGAAAATCAAAATATCTAATAATCTTTTCGTGTTTTTCTAATCGTTTTTTTCTCTTTTGCACACAAAACGGCCATAAGCGGCTGATGGAGAAGCTGCGGGAAACCAATTCCGAAAGCCACACGATTTATCATTTGACATCTGTAAAAATGGTTTCTACAGAGTGCGCCAAAATTACGGCTACACCTCTTCAGCAGATTGCATGCCAAACGCCGCAACCAATTCAAAAACGCTAAGTGTTATACAAAGAATTGAAGCCTGAATTCTTGCTTACATTTCTGTACCAAAAGATCTTTGATTCGAGTTTTGCAGCTAATTTTTTTGCCTCAAATGAGCTCAATCCGGTCAGTCTCGACACGCTTCCCTTTTTAGCTGTTTTCTAACTAAAAAACTTGTATTTAGGAAGTACTTTTTTTAGTAAAAGCACATTTTTATTCATTTAAAAATTATTTCCAACAAATTTACAGCTTTAGGACATAGAAACTGAGAATTGAACACCCCCCAAAACCCAAATTCCGCCAAAATCGCCGAAAATCCAAAGAGAGCTATCTTTGATTCAAGTTCTGGTTAGGTTAACATCGTCAAAACACTTTGGTGGTATTATCATTTTTTATACCATTCAAAATCCTATCTTTTCATGTATTAAACAACCGAAAAATTCTTCTTAGAAAACAGCTAAAAATGGAAGCGTGTCGAGACTGACCGGATTGAGCTCATTTGAAGGTCTGAAAGATGGGCTGCAAAACTCGAATCAAAAATCTTTTAGTGCAGAAATATAGGAAAGAATTTAGGCTTCAATTTTCTATATAACACTTAGGGTTTTTGAATTGATTGCGACGTTTGACATGCAATCTGCTGAAAAGGTGTAACCGTAATTTTGGCGTACCATGTATATGTCGTAGCCGTTTACGAAATTCAGCCGCTAACGAATGGGGGTATTTCCGGGCATCCAATCAAAAAGTCACCCACATAAAAAATGTTCATAATACATATATTTTATAATAAATTTTTGAAATTAGCTCATTTGGTTCAGTAGGAAATTTTGAGCCCCAAAAGTTTAGGTTCAAAAATGTTTTCGCTGTTTTCACATTTGAGAATTGCCCTGAATCTGTTCCTCGCCCTCTTTCTCCTACTTTCAACGAAAAATTGTTTTAGATGACTTTACTTTAAGAAACTACATCAAATTGGCTACAAAATGAGCTATTAGGCAAGTTTTTTGGCTGAGTAGAAAATTTTTTATAGCCATTTCAGGGGCATTTTTGAACCTAAACTTTGGGGGCTCAAAATTTCCTACTGAACCAAATGAGCTAATTTCAAAAATTTATTATAAAATATATGTATTATGAACATTTTTTATGTGGGTGACTTTTTGATTGGAGGCCCGGAAATACCCTCATTCGTTAGCGGCTGAATTTCGTAAACGGCTACGACATATATAAGCCTTGTAGTGACACAATCTAGTAGACTGATCGGACTGAGCTCATTTGAGGGTCTGAAAAAGTGGCTGCAAAACTCGAATCAAAGATCTTTTGGTACAGAAATGTAGACAAGAGTTCGGGCTTCAATTCTCTTTAGAAAGACTTAGGGTTTTTGATTGTGGCATTTGGCATGCAATCTGCTTTATCTGCTTCATTTGGCATGCAAAAAGGTGTAGCCCTAATTCTAGCGCACTCTGTATAGAAATAGGAATACACAATGATTACCATCCATGGTCCGGCCACCGATATGGCCGCTGTTCCAATGTAATCCACTGGAGATCCATCAGTCCATGTGCCTGTTTGGAGGATTCCGTTTCCCTGATATCCGATCCATGCAAATTGAGTGTCGCATGGGTCGAAGTCGAGATCATCCACAACGTTTGTCGTGATTAAATCTTCAAAAACATAATTAAATAGAGAACATATGCATTTGAGGAAGCGCCTAAATGCATTCAAGCAATCCAAAACCGAAAGATTCATGCAGTGTTAGTATACAGAGTGTGTGAAAAGTTTTGACGGCATGAAAACAAGGCCAAGAAGGCCATAGCAAGATTGAAAAAAAGCTAGAACAAAAAGAATTCCAGATTCGAAAAAATTAACTATTTTTACCTTAGGTAAGCTTTTTCTGTAGCACATTTCTGCTTCTTGCATCAATTTTTTGAGCTTTATTTATTAGCAACCGCTTTGTTAAAATTTTCCTGCTTTTTAACCCTAACTACAACTTTTTGAACTACTCGAAAATGGTTATTTTAGAACGAATTCGGCTGTATAAGGATCAATTTGAAGGGAAAATCATTCCTCTTTCTATTAGGCACAAAAGCATGGATTTAAGCTTACTCCAAAAAATTTTAAGCAGTGAGATTCGGCAACCCACTTTGCGACCAAGCATATTATCAAAAAAATCCCTATTTGCTCTTGATTGTGTAGCATTCCAAAAGTTTTTTTAGGGTTCTTTAGACACTAAAAACTCTATTTTTAATATTTTTCGAATCTGAAATCCGTTTTTTTCTAGCTTTTTTTCATTCTTGATATAAGCGTCCTTCTTTTCATGCTGTCAAAGTTTTTCACACACTCTGTATTTGAGGAACACTCTCTAAATGCATTCAAGCAATCTCAAACCGAAAAATTTATGCAGTGTTAGTATAAGTGTTTTTTGGTTCATGGCTAGAAAAATACTTTTTAGGATGGCTAGTTGTATTTTTATGAAAAACTCAAAAACAAAAGCTATTGGAATGTCAGCTCTGAGCCAAACTGATATTTTAGTTACTATTATTATTATTGAATGATTTGTCTAATCTTATGTATTGGGTTGATGGAAAAGTCCTTTCGGATTTCTTGGGAGAGTACCTTAAATTTGTCCAATTTTAACGTTTTATAGCTCATCCTAAAGCTGAATTCAAGACGGATCGATTGGTAAAAAACGTTTTGAGATATCTCTTTTCTAAAAGTTTTTGCAGCTATTTTAGTAAAGGGCGGCAGAGCCAAAAAATGGCAATAAATGTGCTCTCCCCTGTGCTTATCCCTTTCATCGTCGAGAAGGGGTGGTCCTTGGGATTGCCTAGGAGGACAAGTGAGGCTCTGACTTGGTAGGCTCTGACTTGGTAGGCTCTGACTTGGTAGGCTCTGACTTGGTAGGCTCTCACTTGGTAGGTTCTGACTTGGTAGGTTCTCACTTGGTAGTGAGGCCCCCCTTCCCCTTACACTTATTTGTAATTTATTCGTCTTATTGTACTACTGTAAATAAAGATACATATCTTCCGGGTCTATGCAACTGCAGTTCAGGTCGGTCATTTTACAGGGACTCCCCTCTAATACGCTGGAGGAGTTGAGTTGGGTTGTCGGGGTGTTAAAGATGGCAGGATATCAAAAGGGATTCACTCTCTTTAACTTAACCCAAATTCTAGTTCATATCCGTTTACACCTAGGAACGAATAGGAACATCTCAAAAGTCATCTAAATAGTAAATCTTTATGCTAATTTAAACTGTAACTGATTTGAAGGTTTCACTTCATCAAAAAAAACTATTTCGAAGCAAAATGAAATTGTTAATCGATCAACTTAATAGATCTAATACTTAATAACTTAATAGAACACATTAAATTAGCTCAAAAGATGTCGAATTTTACCCCGAGCCTTCATTAGATCAATAGTCAATCAATGAGAACGCACCATAGATGAAATCATCTTCAGCCTTTGAATGAATGGAAACGAGATGAGAGCCCATTTGTTGGCACAAATCTTCAGCCCATTTGTTGGCTTTCATCAAGAATCTTTCAAATAAGGTTATCTCATGAAAAACCGTTAGCCGTCGTTTGATTCCGGTGGACGGCCTGTTTTGAGCTTTCGATGAAGGTTTCCAGTTACATTTGCGTTGTGTGTGATGCGTTCAACTGTCCTCGTACTGCATTTGAATTTTTCCGCGATGTCTTTTTCTTTCTCTCCTCTATTTCTTGCTGCTACAATTGCTTTTTTGTCTGGTGTTGATAAATACGCTCCAGGCATCTGAAAAAAATTAAAACATTACAAAAATATAGGCAAGATACACAAAAAAATAGAAAAAGAAACGAGTATTGTAGTAGCCGCCAAGACTTTTGTCCCTTGTTTTTGTGACCTTTTTGTCGTGTGTGAACTTTTGAGTTCAATGCTTAGTCATAGCTAAAAGTAGAGTAAAAATGCTCAAAAATACTTGTGACAACTTTTTTATAGCCTCTCGGAAAGGTTCCTAAATTTGCGTTTGAAAGTTGCCACCCAGGAGCCGTCAAGACTTTTGTCCATGACTGTAATATTAGGCTGGTCGATATATTCGTAGAATTCTTTTATTAACTTTTAAAGTGACTAGAAGAGCTGCCAAGAAATCCCTAACGGTTGCCAGGCACCGAACGCTCAAGTTGCAGTTTGCGAAAAAGTACGCAAGTTGGACCGCCAACGATTGGTCAAATGTTATTTTCACTGATGTCAATCTTTTTCAACCGGATGGGAACCATTTCTCAAAAACCCCACCATCAATTTTTCTAAAACTTTTGCAGCAAATATACCTGTCATTGAAAAAGTTCTTGCCAAAATATGAGAAATATGAAAATATAAAAATCGTACGGCTAGTTTTGAAGATTTCATTAGTTGAGGAAGCTATCTTTAATCGAACTTTCCATAGTCCAGTTTTTACATCAAAAAATAAACCCAAAG